TCTCTCTCTCTCTCTCTCTCTCTCTCTCTCTCTCTCTCTCTCTCTCTCTCTCAAAAAAAAAATCAAAATACATCAGCACCCATCAACCAGTGTCTCGTCCTCTACCGTAGCATCATCATCGTCCCCTCCGGCGTCATCGTCGTCATCATCATAGGAGGGTTGCGGTGGAGCCTCGTACTCGCTCTCAGACCTGTCACCGCTGGCCTGCTCATCGGTGTCGTCATCATCCTCAACATAAACACGCGTCCTCTTCCCCACAACAGCACGGGATCGAGTCCTCACTCCGTCTGCGGATATGGGTGATGGCGAACCTCCACCGATGGCACCCAATGAACCCAACAGCCTCTCCGTCGCTCCAGCGACACCCAACCTCCCTCTACCTCTGCCTAATTGATCCCCTGGGGGGCGCCCGCGTGGTCTACCTCGCCCTGGTGGTCTCTGTGCTCGTGAATGCTCTACCGCACATGTATCTATGATCTTCCTCTTCTTCCCTCTCGTCGCGGTGTTGTCAACAATGACAATGACACTCGGGCGGGCAGTGGAGGAAGCGCAGATAAATCAATCGATCCCCTCCGCAAAGGTTGTGAATGATCGTGAGCAAGTCGAGGCATCGATGAATCACCACTGCCATCGTGTGAACGTGCAGCTGCACTGGGCGTGGATGATGATAATCGTCCAACTGTAGTCGTGGACGCACGAGAAGATGAATGCGATGGGATAGTCAATCCGGGTCCCCGCACCACAACAAAATGCTTTAAGACGGGCAGCGGAGGAGCAGTATAGAATGACGTGGGTCGAAGTGTGGCGGAAGACGTCGCAGTGGCAAGGCTTCCTCCAATCATCGTCGTCGACGCTCTCTGTGACTCTATGCTCTCAAATGTGCGAGGGGGCTCTACCAATGCGGGAGCCACGTGCTGAACTGTGGGAGGGGGTTGTACTGAAGTCTGCACCTCTCTCTCTGTCTCTGCCTCACTGCCCAGCTGGGCCATAACATCTCACCCCGCTGTAGACTGTGGATGTGGGGCAGTCGTGTCTGTACCTGTCTCCATGTCGCACGACTGATCGGGCTCACATCCTCTCACGCCCTCCCCGATAACAGGGGCCACCTCCGAGATGGTGGGTGCGGGGGAGCCATGCTCGGTGTGACCTGTCCCCATCTCCTCCTGACTGAGACACGGCTGCCCATGGCTCATGGCAGCTGCCTCCTGCTCCTCCATGTCGGGAGTTGCCTCCATGGCAGCTGCCTCCTCCTCCTCCACATCGGGACACAGGTCCTCCCTGCCACGAGATGCCTCCAGCTCCCCAACATCGGGACGCTGCTCCTCTGCTACACTCCCCGGGATAGGTCCCTCTGAAGGCCGCCCGCCTGCCCCATCATCAAGAGGCATACCAAACAACGGAGTGCTAGGGGGGGTCACTGACATCTGAGGCGTGTGTGTCGCCCCTACGTCAGTGGTAGCGGCACTGCAGCCCGCCTCGTCGTCAAAGGCAGTCGAATGAAAGCCTGTGTCCACATGATGACCCTCATCAACCCGTCCKCTCCCCCCCTCCGGCCTGCGACACTCCTCAATGTCCTTCATGATATGAAGGGTGTGTCTGGAGCCATGCAGGAACCCGTCGAGGTCCTCCACAGCATCAGGGCTCCCCCACCTGTCCCACACACGAGACACGAGTGGGTCATCGTGCACCTTCTCCTTCCCCTTCCCTGCGGCTGCAATCTCCTCARTCATGTCCTTCCCCGCCCACACGTCATCCRCCTCGTAAATGGCATCCTCAGCCTCCACATCGTCATCATCTCGCGCCTGCAACAGGCGCGCACTGGCACRATCACCCCCCTCCTTGCGCCGGCTGCGCAAGTCTGCCTCCACCTCCTCAAGGACCGTCATGCCCTCGGCGTACACCTCCTCTGAAGGATCGCCAACCACTGGCTCTGGCGGCTCCTCCACCAAATCCTCCCAAACATCCACATACCCCTTYCGSGAAGTCGACCTCGCTCGTAGAAGCTGCATGTTCCAATGAATGAACACGAGCTTCCGCAGACTATCACTCGAGAGTCTGTTGCGCCTCTTCGTGTGAATGAAGTTATGTGTGGCCCAATTCCTCTCACATGGAGAGGCAGTGGACCATGCAAATACCACCACCACGCGGGGTGCACCCAGTGCTTTGCCTGCGCGATAGCAACGGGGTCTGTCCACCATTTGGGCCTAGGGTCTGCATGGGGATCATCATGGTGGAACAAGTACAAGCCGTACCACATCGTAGTATGCTCCTCGGACCCCTCTCCGTACGTAGCCAAATGGTGGAATGCAGTCTGCACCAATGCGCTGTCAGTGTCAGCGAGGAGACTCACATCACGCCGTCGCGGGTCAACGAGGTATGCGAGCGCATGCGCCGGCTGGCGCATCATGCCGCAACGGTAGTCAACCCTCTCCATAATCCCTGCCTCGTCTGCCTCTGGTAGGCCCATGTCGCGCACACGCGCTGCGATACTGTCAACAAACGCCCAAAGGGTGGGGGGGGAGGAACCGTCTTTGTCCATGGAACGCAACAGGCTATAAGCTGGCCTCATGACCTCCTGCACGCGGTGCGCACAATCCCAAAATGACGCCGACAGCACAAGCTGTCGAACAGGGCGCTCATCCTGCCTCGCYTTCCCCCTCCAGAGGGTGCTCCGCCATCTCACACTGCCCACGACCATCCGCAATACCCTCTCCTGATCGGTAAGTCGCTCCACCATCTGATATGCTGACCCGAACCGTGTGTCACATGGCCGGATCAGCTCCAGCTGCCCCTGCTCCTTGAAGGACCAATGATACGAGAGGGCCTTGTGAATGTTCTTGAAGAACATCACAAACTTGTGTGTGTTCTTCAAGATCGGCCACACCCACGAGAAACGCGTGATGTCGCGCAGGAGAAGACTCAAGCAATGAGCTGCACAGGGGAGCCAAGGGATCCGGGATATGTCTCTGTCCGGATGGTCTTGCAACTGCTGTGCAGCCACCTTGTTTGCATAAGCGTTGTTAGTGCAATAAGCATTCACATGCTTAACGTTAATATCGCGGATGACCTCCTCCCACAACTCTGCCAGTGCCACTCCAGTCTTGTCCCTCTCCGACATGTCAACGGTACTGATCAGCACGGGCCCGTCCTCGCCTGCTGCGATGAAGTTAACGATAGGCTTGTACGACCTTGTCGTTGCCCCGTCCGTCATCATCGTGCACCYTGTCAACTTCCACTTTGCCTTCTTYGGAGCGACCCTCTCTGCTAGCTCTTGCGTAGTCTCGAGCTGTATGAATGTGAATGGSACCCCAGCCCTGTACAAGGCTCTGGCCYACAACCTCTCATACTGCTGCTGCGGACCTCCCTTTGCCCAACTATCCAACCTCGTCTGCAGCGTGCGACGATCGTGGGGCACAACAACACCTGATGGTGCACGTGTGCCCTCTGTCCTGAGCCATGACAAGTCGGCTTTTCGCCTTGAAGGCTGTCGTGTGGTGTTCTGCACCTGAGTCGACCCCTGCTCCRCCTMAAGGACGCGGACCCTCTCTCTAAGGATAGACAGCTCGTCGTCCACTGGCCCACCATCGACCGCTCCCTCATCCATCCCAACAGTCTGCGGCCCTTGGGCAGCTGATTGCCGTCCACGGCCACGAACTCGGTCGTCATGCATGGGCATACCTGTCG